TTCCTCACTGTGCCTTAGACTTACCTTGCAGAATTATTAATATTAATATAGTCTAGAAACATGCAGCAGGGTCTTCCCTGCAGCAAGGTCCTCCTGATACATGTTCCTGAAATATATTTAGTCATAGTAATCAAAGGCCAACATTGCCACTCATTATGGGAATATCTACTGGAAGTTAAATGTAACTAAGAGAAGATCTCAGCTTCTGAAGTAAAATTACCTGCAATTCAAATTCCCACACCCTCATTTGCAGGCTGGGTGACCTTGAATGAACTATTTCAACCTCTCTGAGTTTCCATTTCTTTATCTGTAAAATGAGTGCAATAATAAAGCCCACAAATAATTATTGTATTTAAATACACAGGGTTTAGCATTGTGTCTGACACACGGGAAGCAGCCAAGAAATGTCTGCTACTGTGGCCATTATGATTATCATAATCCTAGAAGATGTTATGTAGTTTGTATATGCTTCGTTTCCATAATAAAAAGGTATGTAGCCCCATGATTGGCATTCATTAAGCATTCCATAAATTTCAGATATTATTACTTATGAATCAATTAGAATCACAAAACTATAGCATGGGACAGAAAAGCAGAGATTATCTAGTTCAATCCTCTTATTTTACAAATGAGGAAACAAGTTAGAGAAATGAAATGACCTGCCAAAGAGGACAGGGGACACAGCTACTGATTCCACTGCAGGCTCTTTTCCAGGTCAACCCCCACCCTGACTAGTGGACAGAAGACAGAGTGGACAGTTTTTAAGTTGGTGAGGATGCAGAGGGCAGAGGAAAAAAATGAGTAGAAGACACTGTAAAGTGGGTCCCACAGAGAACATAAGGACAGATATAGAAATGACACAGTGGAGAAGGTTTCCAATAATTCACAGGCATAAGAAAAGCCTTTGAGAAATCAAATTCTGATGATAAAAATTAGGATAAGGAGGAGAAAAATGACAGGCAACTAAAAAGCTCAACATAGAAATGCAAGGAGCTTTGCAAAGAGCTTAAGGCCATAAAGTGTTACAGTGTCTGCACCTTGTCCTGAGCTAAAGATCAGGGGCATCTTAAGCGCACTACCATCCCAAAAGCCTGGACCTATTTATCACCTGCAGGTCCTCCCAGGTTATTTAGGATGGGTCCAACAAAGAACTATTATTGGGAAGCTCCTGACACCACAACTCTTACTAGTGCTGCTGCTAAATATGCAGCATTGTAATTTCATCTGTCTTGAGGTCCCAAGAGCCCTAATTCATTAAGGAAAATACAGATAACCATTGGTGGCAGCAATGAGAGAAGGAGTCTTGGACAAAGCCAAAGAGAGAAGCCCAATACAGAACTGCCATCCCTGTGTCATGAAGAAGGGATGGTAGTGCTAACCTGTGCTGTCTGTGTGGGTTTTTTTGTTTGTTTGTTTGTTTTAACATAAATGAAGCATTTGCCTGGAATGCAAACTCACAGATACAAAACCCAGAGGAAGGGGCTGGAAGGGGCTGGAATAAAAAGTGCCAAGGGTCTGAAAATAAGGAATAGATTTAGATGGAAAGAGCGGTAAGGGCTTTATACTAATAACTTGCAGGCTGGCTTCCCAATCTGGCTCCTGCTGCGCTGAATTATTATGGAGGGGTCCATGGGTTGGCAGAGCCAGTCAGAGCAAAGCAACTCCCCTGTGTTTTACTACACAGGAGTTATAGAGGGCAAAGGGCCCCCCATGCCCTTGCAGAAAGAACCTGCTTTATGATGGGAAAAGTCATTGACAGATACAAACAAGGGCCAAAGGGCAAATGTGTGCTAGGAAAAGAACATCAAAAGGCTAGAGGGAAGACTAAGCAACAAAATCGTGGGCTATGGAATGGTCTTCAACTTCTAGCTAACAATATTGGCAACAGGGAGGGGAAAAACCCTCAGCATTTCCAGGGCTTTTGTCTCTCCCATGAAAGAAAGGATTTTGTATCTGGCCTGTGTAGTATGTGCTTGGTATGATGCTGGCAATGGTTGAAGGCAAAGGATATTGGAACATGGATTGTATCCTCAAGAATTTAAGGACTTTAAACCTTTTAGGTCTTCAAGTGCTAGTCCACAGTGCTCCTCTTAGGGGACCACTTAGCAGAATTCGGCACAGCTAACCAGCTAAATTGTATGACATTTTCTCAGAGTCCTGGGAGAGGTCGGTGTAGAAGAAAATCACACCATTTCTCAATTGTGATGGCTCCTAAAATCCCCCATGAGAGTGTCCAAGAAGATGAAGGGAAGAACCACAGTTTCCAAATGTTGGAGCTTGAATGGTACAGTTGGAATTCTTTCAGCTACCTAGAATCTTTCCATCCCTGGCCCTTGTGGCATTCTCACACTGCCCATATCCACAGATTCACCACTGGGCCCATATGTGGCCTGGGCATCTTTCTAGTACTATGCTCCAGGCACTGACACTCAGTGAACAGGATTTGCAACAAGAGATGCCTTCGCTGGCCAGTTCCCACTTTCTAAACATCAGTTAGAAGCAGAGACAAGAATAGGGTTCAAGTCCTATGGCGCCCAGCTCAGTGCCTTTATACCTTCACTCTGCTTCTTCTTCTTTCTCCTGTGCTGCTGAAGACCCTCATTTGTTCTACTTGTGCAACATCTTTTAACAGCCCTTAGAGCCCAGATGGGGGCTCAATACACAGGATACCCAAAACTAGTCTTCTCAGTGAAGAGTAAAATGATAATTTGAGAGGTGCACAAGTCTGCTTCCCTGACAGTATAGATCCTGGCAAGCTCCCCTGATGCGAATTGTGACTGTCCTAGTTTTTATCCTCCAGCTTGAGTACCATTCAGATGCTTATGTGTGAACGTATCAGCCCATCATGAGCAGAAGTTAGAGCATCTATTTAAGGAGGCATAGAGTCGTGGGAAGAATAAGGTCTTCAGAGTCAGCTAGAACTGAGTGGTAACTTTTCTTCCCCTGGCGATGAAAGGGAAGTCTAGCTAGTCAGTGTGACCTTGCACAGGCTGGGTGGCCTCTCTGAGGCACAGTCCCTTTCTAGTAGAAATGAGACTAATAATAGACACCTGAAAAACTTGTGAGATCAAATGAGATATAAAAGGAAAGTGCCTCCTCCTCTATTGACTACATCATAGTAGGTGATCAATAGATGGTGGCTATCATTATCGTAATTGTTTTTCTCAAGATCACTGAAGACAAAAGCACCTCTGAGGCAGTAGGACACAGGTAAGCGATGTCTTCAAAGGGGAGAATGGGGAGCCAGGCTGCCCACCTGACCTCTGAGGTAGTGGACCACCGCGGGAGAGGGAAGTGCAGAGGACCGGAGAGCTCATTAAAAGTATTACCACTAGAGACACAGCCAGGCACAGCCTAATCAGCCTGGAATGAGAATGACACCAGGGCACCGAGCAACTGCAGATGCTGAGGGAAAAACCCAGCCTGGCAGGCAACGCAGAGTATTCAAAGGGCAGAGCAAAAAAATGAGTCATGGAACAAGCAAGCAGCAGGCACCTGGGATTCTGAGTAGGGGTGGAAACTTGGCCAGAATCTTGGAAAGGAATCCAGGAGGCAGTCCACACATGGGGAGTCTCTGGGCAAGCCATGAGATCCCAGGGACAGACTGGGCTTCATGGTGACTCCAGCCCTGGGGAGGGACATTGTAGAATCTAATAAGGACCTCTGTCCTGGGGGGCTCTTGTCAGCAGGACGGGTATTAGGTGTTCTTTTAGCTACCAAGCCCAGAGGCTGAAAGCAGGGTTGACTTACAGACTCATTGATGTGGGACAGTTAGCTCTTAGATGTGGAGAAAGAGGAGGGAGGGTGTTGAAACTAGGAAGGGTCAGAAATGCATAGAAAGAACTTGAAGGCCAGAAAAACCCAAGTTAAAAACCCTATCGGTGTTTTGTGCTAGGAACGAGAGACCTTGGCAAATTACTTAACTTTTCAAAGCCTTCATTTGTTTTTCTGTAAAGTGGGTATAAGAGCTAGCCAATAGCATCATTGTGGAGATAAAATTAATGTAAGGTATTTTTCCTTACACTCTACCTAGAGCTAACCCAGATATAAACTCTTATCCACTTCTTAATAACTACATAGACAAACATATAAAATATGATAATATAGGAAACATTATAGCTATAGCATATTCAACTATAGACTCTAGATGATGCTAACATCTCATACAGGTGTATATCACTTTTCCACTGGTAGAGTCTTTTCACAAACATTGTCTGGCTTGATCTTCACAGTATTAGGTGGTCAGAATCAAAACACACTGGAAACAGCAAAATGTCTGGCAAATGGAAAAATGTTTGTATTGACCATGTTTTTTGTATTTTTCCATATTTTATGATGCTTTGACAACTTGGGGCTTTGTGACTACGGGGAGGGGCCGCCTCTCCCATACTAAGCTAATTCCTAGAAGTAACAGATAACTTCCCTGAGAGCACGCCTTTCATATGCAAACCAGCCATAACTGCAACCACCTCCTTTATCTAATTTTCACACACCAAGCCAACATTACCCCTGCTCTAAATCATTTGAGGACCAGATACTGGAAAACTAGGGGCCACCCCTACAGTCCAGAGCCCACCAAAATTATTCAAACGATTCAATCCTAAGCTTGCTTAGCTTGCCTACTTCACCTCACCCTTTCCTTAACATGAAAACTATCTTGCCTATGTTTTACCCCACTCCCACTGCCTCCTGACTGACCCTGGTAACTCCCCCATTGGCCCTGTGTGGTGGTGTTACTGTAGGTAGCTAGTTGGACGTAAACAGGGCAAGAGAGCCCCTGCGACAACGAGGAATGTGAGGTGACCATCACGTGATGGTCAGGCGGTCATTAACTCTTGCTCTAAAATAATACTTGGTCACAGCTGGCACTAGAGAAAGGCAGTCTCCCAATAGATAGGAAAAACCTGAAACTGGTGATCAGTAGCTTCCAGATAACATCTCAGAATCTGGGTGAATGGGCTCACACATGCACACTAAGAGGCAAGATGGTGGAGTTTAACTGGTATATGACCTCCTAGGACATTCGGCTGGTAAGGGAAGAACGCCTCCAGTCAGCATGTGTACAACTCCAGTAAACACACTGAGCAGGCTCCCCTTCCAAGTGCTAGCAGGGCACTGTGCATGCGGACAGCCCACCCCAAGGGAAGAATCAGGGGAGAAGGAACACAAGACCGTGGGAGTATGCCAAGTCAAACCCTAAGTCAAAAGGTCAAACCACACACATGATCTCTCAAGTCACCAGTTTGGCCCTCTTCTAAATGTACTTTACTTTCTTTGCATTCCTGCTCTAAAGCTTTTTAATAAAGTTTCACTCCTGCTCTAAAACTTGCCTCGGTCTCTCCTTCTCCCTTATGCCTTTCAGTCAAATTGTTTCTTCCTAGGAGGCAAGGCCTACTGCAGACCTGTACAGTAAGAAAGACCTACTGCAGACCTGCATGGATTTGCCACCAGTAATAGTGTGGCATGGTGTGGCGTGCCCCTTCCTCTTGGGAACTGTGAGTAACACACTCTCTTTTCAATGGCAGTCATCTCCTGATCTATGGCCTCACTACACCTGAGTAAAAACAAAATCTCAGGTACATTTTTGACATTTAGACATTTATTTGCCATGTTAATTCAAATATGGTAAATAGCCCTTACAAAGAATGAAGTAGAGGCATTGTATCAAATTAAAATGAAAAGACTTCCTCAACATGTCAAGTGGAAAAAAGGTCACAGGAAAAAACTTACAATGTGATCTCATTTATGGAAAAAGTTATTTGTTTATATACATTCATATATGCACTTGTGTGTGTGCAGCAAGGAGAATTAAGGATGCATACTCATCTACCGGCTGTGGCTACACCTGGAACAGGGTAGCTGAGGCAGGTGGGAGAAGGATGTCGAAGAAAGACTTTCTATTTTTCTCCTGCATAGTACATATTATCTGAAACTCTTAAACAAAACTGGATTTATGCATTACTTACATAATGAAGATAGTAAAACTGATTATTCAGCATCCAATTAACATGTACATAGCACAATCTCATAAAATGAGTATTATTTAATTAATAAATATTATTTGGATATTATCCGACCAATTATTTCCACCAAAGAGAAACTAGGAATTCCCAGCTCTTGACCTAAATGGGACTTTTTAAACTTATAATCAGCTCTGAAGAACTAGTAGAGAAGTGCTTATGCTTGGAACACAAAGCTTTCAAAAAGGCATTTATCATCATTATCGCCCCATCCCCTAATATGAAATGATTCATTTTCCTGTATCCATAGTTTGCAAGGGACTTTTGAATTAAACCTTAAAAGCTAAATTTTTCTGGAATCTGTCTGGACCTAACACTCGATGCCAATAAAGAACCTCAGGGTAATTTGTTTTCCTCTATAATTTCAAAGTGGATCAATACAAGAGTCCTTTATTGCTGCTGTGGCTTCCACAGCCCTTGATGGTGAATCATTACAGAAGAAGTCTGAGATCCATAGATGAGAGGTGGCCAGACTCCATTTTTCATGTGGTTTCTGTGGTTTCAAGTGAGTTTGGGGCAGAGAAGAAAAGCTAGCTTCATACTGTGTAGCCCAGCTAGCTGAGGGTATGGGCTGCTGAGAATGAGAGAGAAAGAAAAAAGGTTATGGCTCAATAATACTGCAAAGGGTAAGACACAGGCTCTGAGGTCTGACTAGGATTCAATCACAACTCTCCCTTTCTTGGATGTGTGGCCTTGGGCAAGTCATTCACCTCTTTAAGCCATTGTTTTCTCATTGGTATAAGGATAACAATGTTTTCAACCCCATACAGTTATTACAGGGTACCAATGAGGTGGGTCAAGCTCCTGGGATAGAATCAGTGCTCAGTACACATTAATTGTTTTATATATATTTGAGATAGTAGATACTTAGTTTTAAAGAAATTGTGCCTTCAATTTAAAATAAGTACATATTAAACACGAACTGCATGGTAGTCTTAATCTCTGCTCGAAGAAAGCTGACAGTCTATTTGACAAGGTCAAACATATTCCTGTAAGAACTTACATAACCGTACAAGGTTTATCTAGTAATCTGTGGCAAAAACAATTCACTGGGTCATTCCAAATGAATTGTCTGGATAATAAAGGCAATTGGATCTAGAAGAAGGTTTATAGACCTTCATAAATTGCTTTACCAAAGGTTTCATAAAGGAGTTGGGATTTGACCTAGGACTTATTTGAACAGAGAGCAGGGTAGGAGGCATTTTATAATAGGTGGGAAGACAGCATGAGTGAAAACATGGTGTATCCAGAGGGTGCCCAAAGCAAAAAGTAAACAATTTGATGTGGAGAATGGGTTTTGAAATAATTAACTCATAGATCCCAAACTTATTGGGAAATACTCCAAAATTAACCATGTTTTGGTTTTCAAAGACTTCAACCTTATTCAAATCAATTTTAAGCCTTTCTGTGTGTGTGTGTGTTTTTTTAATCATGTCTTAGACACTTGCTACAGCTGAGTATGCATTCAAGCAGAGTAGTGAAGTCTCTAATATCTAGACTCACTCGGATGGGGACCAACACTAACCAGGTGGAATAAAATCCAGAATCTAATGCATTGTTGCAGAACATAGTCCTAATGTAGTGGTTCCTAATGTGAGTCACGGGGCCAGCATCATCATCATCATCATCATCATCTAGAAACTCACGAGAAATGTGAATTCTCAGGCCCCACCTAGATATACCAATTCAGAAAGTCTGGGCATGGGGTACAATAATGTGTTTTACAAGCCCTGGAGGTAATCCTGATACAGTTTATGACACTAATACTACTGTCCCAATGTATTTCTCTTTCAAACACACACATTTAATATGTACACATTGGTTAGCACAGGTCCATTATTGCTTGCACAAAGGCTTACAATTTTCCTACCAGCCTCTATTTTAGAGTAAATTCTTAGAAGAAACAAATCCTAAGGAGACCTAAAATGAGATTTTTTTCCATAACAGTAAGAAGAATTAAAAAACCGAAAAAATAATCAAGTGGTCATTTTAATAATGCAATTTTGCTTTTTGTAATGTGGCTCAATAGAATCACCATGGAGAATTTTTAAAAGAATAGCCTGTGCAATTGGAGCTTTATTGGCTTTTTGATGAAAATGCTTTGGCTGTAGATGGGCCAGATCCCATTAACAAACTTAATCTGGAGCCCACAGGAGCCTTCTGACAGAAATATCCTGTCATGGGGGAGGCAAAATGCATAAAAATTGATTTTAATTATTCAAACTCTAATTTCAAAGTCAATGATTGATGGTAGAGGGTTAAGATATTGCCAGTTCATTCCATGTCTTTTTCTAAAATTTTCTTTTGAAAGGATGATTTTTAGCTCAAAACATCAAGACATGTGAAAGAATAAAAAATGAAGAAAATCCAAATTTGAAGAACCAGAAATAACCACAAGTTTAGCAGGATCCCATTGTTAAAGCCCCACAGGGTAGTAGAGGAATAGCCCAAAGATCTCTCTTGCAACTCTTAGTACCAGGACTTAAAATATTTTCCACAAACGCCCTCCTGCTTGAATTGACTGCCTTGTTACATCTAAGCACCATTACATCTAAGCTGTTTAATACTTTGAAGAAAACTGTAAGGCCAGATACATAGGGGTCTGAGGAGTGCTCAGAGTTGAAACTGAAGTCCTCACAATGGCAAACCAGCCATGGCTCCTGGCTATTTTTTTATGCATCAACTACCATTCTCTATTTTGCTCACTCTCCTAGCCATGCTTCCCTACTATTCCTCAAGTTACACACACCAAATATACTGCCAACTATCACTTCCTTTCACCTTTATATTCTTGTGGTTCTCTGCATCATTTCTTCCAGTCCTCTGTTAACATATCACCTTCTCAAACCCCTTTCTCCTGATCTTCCTCATATAAACCTCCAGCCTTCTCTATCCCCTGTACCTTATTTTATTTTCTTGACATATTGCATAATTCACTTGATTTTTTTCTATTGCAACTTCTCTCTCCCCTATAAAGTCCATGAAGGCAAGGCTCTGTATATTTTATTGACCACTGTATTCCCAAGGTGTAGAATAGTGCCTGGTGCATGGCAGACATTCAATACATATTGATTAAATGAAAGAATGAGTAGTGAAGGAAAGACTGAGTGAAAAATGGTGACAGGAAAATCCAGATTTCAATTCATCTGTTAGGGTGGACAAGAAAAAAAAAAGTCTATAGATATTTGCTCAGAAGTAAATTTTGCATAAAAAGTAACTCTTCATATAAAAATTGATTGGCAGGATATGCCACCATAAAATCAAATGCCCATGCTGGTCACAATGCAGAGAAATGAACTTTAAAATACCTTCAAATCCATCAAGGAAGTGGTCAGACACAGCCCCTCCACCACCACCTACTGGAAACCATTTATCTGCTTCTAGTTGATTCCTGGAATAGTACACTGAGGGCCATGTGCCCAGAGGAACTGTAGAAAGAACTTCCCAAGGGGAGAGGATGCTACCTCCATTCCACTCTGTTGACACAAAGCCCTACACCTGGAGAGGAGAATTGGCTTTTGTGTGACAGCCAAAGTGGCTCTTAAAAGAGAACAGGTGATTTGCCTGGATATTGTCCTGCATCTTGGAGAACAGGAAGGAAGATTCTTATCTTCTCTCCATGAAGAGGAGAACAGAGCTCACCTGAAACTCTGAGACTGGGTTCTAACCCTAATTCTACCACCATCTAGCAGATGACTCTGGGCGAGTCAGTTCTCTCTGAACATTAGTTTTCTCATATGTCAATGAGAATGATAAAACAGCTACCATATATTTGAGTACTTTATAATGCTCTACACTTTGAACATGCCATCTGATTTGGCCTTCACAAGAGTTCTTTGAACAAGGCACTGAGGCCAGCAAAACTTAAGTAATTTAAGATCACCCAAAGTGGCAGAACCTGGTTTTAAACTTAGGTGGGTCTGAGTCCAAAACCTAAGCTCAGAATGACAGCAGTATAGTACCTTTCTCATAGACCTCAGAGATGGATAGGAAGAGCAAACAGCATCCTGAATAAAAAGGCATTTTGAAAATCAAACCGTATTCACATATATGGGATTTTATTAGTAACTGTGGGTTTCTGGGAGTCTGCAGAAGAGTTACACAAACGTGAGGTAGCCTGTTATTTTTCCTTTGAGAATTATCATGGACCTTCTCCATTCAGCCTTAACAGATTATTATTACTCTGATTATATTCATTTAAAATCTCAGCATTTTTTTACCCCAAGGTGGTTTAAAAATGGACTGAAAAGACGCAATGAGCAACATCAGGAGGCAGGAGACTGACTTCTGGCTCTGTCTTTCTCAGTAGCCTGCATACCCTATAGGCAAGTTGGACAAAAGGTGAAATATAGGCCACCACCTCACAGTAGAATAGTCTTAGACAAACCTAACCCCCTAAGTCTCAGTTTCCTAATGTGCAAAATAGCAACAATAATATCCACTCCCTGATCTAAACTGAAGGATGAAAAGACGATTGCCCTCAGAGCAAGTTTCAACAAATGGGAGTTGGGTGGGAGTGAGCAGTTTTGAGGGATGTATTATCTTTTCCTGGAGAGCCCCAAGAAGGACTGAGCCCTACTTGCTTGCATCAGTAACTGGCTCCTTAAGTCATCCTTTGTTGACTTTCTTCCTTGACCCACTTTTCCCACTTCCTCACTGTGCTAACTGGGATCACCTCCCAAATAAATTGTGTGTACCAAAATCTATGCCTCCTTTTAGGATAACCCAAATTGAGAATTGTCGTACATAACACAATTCTCAACTAAATTTGTGTTAAGTAATCACGTGTGATAGGCAGAATTCTAAGGTAGGCCTTAAGATTTCCCACCCCATGGAATACCTGCCTGCACAATCCTCAAGACTGAATAGGATAGGTTTTACTTCCATAATGAGATTCTATCTCATGACATGGTTGACTTTAACATAGGGAGACTATCCAGGTGAGCCTAACCTAATCACATGAACCCAGCTGAGAGCTTTTCTCTGGCTGGCTGCACAAGAGAAAGTCAGAGAGATCTGATGCATGAGGAAGATTTCCACATGTTCACCATTGCTGTCTTGCCGATGGACACAGGGCCACATAGCAAAGAATGCAGGCTCTCTTAGGAACTGAGAGCTGACAGCTGGCAAAAAATAACTGGACCTCAGTCCGACAGCCACAAGGAACTGAATTATTCCAACACGAATTAACTTGGAACAAATTTTTCCCCCAGAGCCTTCAGATGAGAATTCTGCCCAGCCAACACCTAGATTTCAGCCTTGCAATACCCTAAGCAGAGAACCCAGCTGAACTCATAGAACTTCTCACTTACAGCATCATCAATAAATAAATAGGCATTGTTTTAAGCTGCTAAATTGTGGTAATTTGTTACACAGCAAGAAAAACTAATATACCAAGTAAAGAGATAACTACCCAAATGTCTAGTGTAGTGAGAAAAATCAGGTACTATCATTCAGGATAATTCAAATAATATTTGGAAAATAGTATGGTGTATTTATACATATTCCTTTGTTTTGTGTTAAATTTTATTGTATATATTTAAGTTACACAACATGAAGTTTCGATATGTACATAAATAGTGAAATCATCACTACAGTCAAGTGAGTTAACATCCATCATCCCACATAGTTTTCTGTTTTTTGGCATTGTAAGAACACCTAAATTCTACTCTTTTAGAAAAATCTTGAATACAATACAATATTGTTAACTGCAGTATAGTCCTCCTGTCGTACCTTTGCTCTCCAGACCTGTTCATCTTACATATCGCCACTTTGACCTACATCTCTCCATTACCTCCCACTGCCCACCTCCTCCATAGCCATATTTGATTGATTCTCTATCTCTGTGCATTTGACATTTTTTTTCCTAAAGATTCCACATATAAGTGAGATCATGCAGCATTTTTCCTTCTGTGTTTGGCTTATTTCACTTAGCTTACTTTCCTCCAGGTTCATCCCTGTTGTGGAAAATGGCAAGATCTCAATTTTTAAGGTTGAATAATTTTCCCTTTTGTAGATACCACAGTTTCTTTATCCATTTATCCATCAATAGACACTTTGGTTGTTTCCATATCTTTGCTGTTGTGAATAATGCTGCAAAGAACATGGGAATGCAGATATCTCTTCAAGGTGGTTATATCACCTTCTTCGGGTATATAACCAGAAGAGGGATTGCTGGGTCATATGATAATTCTATTTTTAATTTCTTCAGGAATCTTCCCACTGTTCCCCACAATGGCTACATCAATCTTCAGTTTCACCAACAGTGTACAAGTGTTCCCTTTTCTCCACACCCTCGTCAAAACTTGTCATCTCTTGCCTTTATAACTGTCCCAGCTGGTGTGAGGTGATATCTCCACATGGTTTTAATTTGCATTTCCCTGATGATTAGTGATACTGAGCACCTTTTCACATACCTGTTGATTGTTTTTAATCTTCTTTAGAAAACTGTCTATACAGAATGTCTTACTTTGAGAAATATCTATTCAAGTTCTTTGCCCATATTTTTAATAAAGTTGCTTTTCTGCTATTGAGTCATGTGGGTTCTTTATATACACTGAATATTAGCCCTTATCAGGTATATGGTTTGGAAATATTCCCACTCTCTTTGCTAACACAACTTTTAATTTTTTTTCATTTTCAAAATCTAACTTAATCTCGTTATTCCATACCTCATGTATTATGTATTACACTAAAAAGTAACATGATAATACAGATACTTCTAAAATGGATACCTAAACAATAATCCTTGAAAAGGTAATTTAAAAGAAATTAAACCATGAAAATATCAATTTGAGGGAAATGAAACTCCTCTTTACAGGCACAAGGGTAGGCAGAATTGGTCCAATGACATTATGTTTCTTAAGGCACCACCTTGCCATTAAACTATGCTGTGATGTCTCCATGAAGATGTCTACATAAGTTTAGGCAGGAATTTTTAGCCTCTCCATTCACTCTGAATTTGCAACAATCCCAGACTGCAGAGATGCCAAGTACTGAATTGTTCCCTTTTCATCTTTTCCTACTCTGAAATGTCAAAGCTGACACCTAGATTCACCAAAATGGTACATATGTTAACAAAGTCAGACATGCTTTCTGTTGCAACAGGTTCCCAAACTATTCAGGCATGATGCAGTGAGGAACAATGCTAGGCCCAAGGAATGTCAAGAGGCAGCAAAGATGAAAGATAACCACACAAATGAGGACTGACAAGAGCCACCAAACAAAGGCTAATTCCTGTGTGCTGAGCTCATGTCAATAAAGGAGCAATATACCAGATCACGAGAAGCGATTGCCACTCAGGGATCCCCTTTCACCCCACTGCTTCCATCATCCATGCGTGGGCTTGGCTACAGTTTGTGGTTTCAGTCTTGGAGATTTTTCTCCCTTTAGACAGGGCTATACCCTCTGAATCATATGTTAGTGTACAGAAGCACGTGGAAGGGAATCTAGGACTAAAGGCTGTTTTTCTCTTTCAGATGACTGAGTTTCAGAGAGGGAAGAGACTTGCCTAAGACAACACAACAAGTGAGTGACAGTCAAATCTGACTCCAGGCCCTTTTTGCTCCATTTAATAGGTAATGGCATTTCTTCTACTACTTTTCTCTGACTTTTGGAAGCACAAATGGGCCCACTCTTCCATCCATCTCCACCCCACCTCCCCCCGCTGTAATCAACCCACTGAACATCTAGCTGCCAGATTAATGCTTTAAAAATACATAGCATATCACATCACTCCTCTGTATTAGCCCTCTGATGGCTTCCCATCACTTATAAAATAAAACCCCAGACTTTTTGACCTCAAGGCTTCAAGACTCTATGTGATGTGGGTTCTGCCTGCCACTTTGACCTCTCAGCCTTACTTTTTCTGTTCACAATGCTCTAGTTCACATGAGACTTATTTTCTGTCCTGTGAGTGAGTCTACCTTCTTTCTTCCACCTCAGGGTCTTTGCACTTGACATTCCCTCTACACTGAAGATCTTATCTGAGAACTGTATAATATTGGTTCCAGCAGTCTATTTACTTTCTTCAAGTACTTTTCACTATTTGGAATCATTATACGCATCTGTGAACCTTTGTACTGCCTTCCACTAGAATGTAAATTCCAGGAAAGCAGGGATCTTTGTTGTATTCACAAGCATCTTATATTCACAGTATCTAAAATGGTACCTGGCAAGAGGATTTCTTGAGCCCAGGAGTTCAAGACCAGTGTGGAAAACATTGTGAGACCCCCGTCTCTACAAAAAAAAAACCACACAAAATTAGCCAGGCATGGCGGTGCATGCCTGTAGTTCTACTTGGGAGGCTGAGGTGGGAGGATCACTTGAGCCCAAGAGGTAGAGGTTGCAGTGAGCTGAGATTGTGCCACTGCCTTCCAGTCAGGGCAACAGAGCGAGGATCTGTCTCAAAAAAAAAAAAAGTAAAAAAATAAAATGGTGCCTGGTACATGGAAAGTCCTCAATAAATATTTGTAGGGTAGATGTATGAGTGAATTGGTACCACAGCTGTCATCTACTCTGATAACTCTGATAACCCTGATGATCAAAATATTTAATAGAATATTTTATAGAAATATTTAATAGAAAATTTTAATAACCAAAATAGAATAGCTCCTTCCTGAACAGGCCAGAAAACAGAATTTCCAATACACTGTCCAGTGTTACAGCTACCCCAGTGGAATCAAGTAAGTGCCCAGCTGATCAGGTCTAGATAGGAAGCAAAAGAAATGTGCATAAGGTGTATTCTTCCACTGGAAATTGACCATCTAGAATACAGCTGACTAATAAAAACCCACTTACGCTTTCCTTTGGTTTCTGGAGATGAATCTGTTTGTTTTCCTCCTACTGAGCTAAAAGTAGTTTCCAACACTGCTCCCTTCAACCACAAAGTTAATGAATTTGCAAAGAAGATAGGATCTCCCTCCCTCTGCTGTTCCTGCAGGGTAAAAAAATGAAGCTTTTTCTTCCTCCATGGAAACTCACAGAGTGATTTCTCTCACAGGACCCGGGACTGGACTGTCTCACTAAATATCACAGCCAGAATAAGGGCTCAGGTCAAAATTTTTCCTACACACTGTTAATAGCCCCTATATATCTAGATATTATATCCACAGCTAATATTGTTAGTGTTGTTATGTATTTATGTGAAAGAAAATATATGAACTATTAATATGCTTCCCAATCCCTGCCAACTTATACATTTGACATTTTAGGGGAGCACTTAGTTTTTTCCCAGTAAGAGTTTTTAGAAATATATCCACCCCAAATCTGAGGATGATCATTAGTCAAAAACAGGCAGTTATTTTTGCTTCCTGCTCACTTTTTGCCCTTCATACAACTTGACTCTTGGGAGCTGACAAATAAAGATGAATTACCAGTCCAGAGCATTCTAACTAACTAAGCCATTGTAGTCACTTAAATAAATCTTGAAACCCAAATTTTGCTTTGTTTGCTAAAATTTCTCCTCCCATTGTCTTCGACTATGTGAACTAGAATTACATAATATCAAGAAAAGGTTGCAAAAACCAGGTTCTTTATCATACTGACTTTACTTTTAGACTTAATGTTTCTTGACTGGAGACGAAATTGCTTCATGCTAGAAAGATCTGCGATGTAAGTCCTATACCTTCTCTAACTTACAAACATAAAATCCCTCTGTTTTCATAAAAAACAGAAAATGTATATGCCTATCAATTGATACTAGACAGTGTTATAGTGTATAACCAAATTCAGTGTCTCCTAATTTAAGAACTGACATTACTTGATATAGAATAAGAATAATAAAAGCTAACATTTGCTGAGTGATTACTATGTGCTGGAAGCTTTTCAATGAACTTTGTATGCAGTATTTCATTCCATCTTCGCAGTGATTCTATGAGGCAGGTACTTCAATAGTGTGGAAATGAACATGTCTACGGACAAGGAATTCTAGAGCCAGACTACCTGAGTTTATATCCCAATCCTGCCAGTTAATTATGACATGACCTTGGGGAAGTTATTTAACTGCTCAAAGCCCCAGTTTTTTAAATCAGTAAAATGGAGATATTAGTAGTTACCTACCTCACATGGTGCTTGCAGGGAGTAAATTACCAAATATGTATAATAGGCTTACTGCAGTCAATCTCACTACAGAGAACATTATATAAATGTTTCTCAATCTTTGGTCATTTTTAAACTATGTATAGGATTTTGACCATATTTCTGTGCACCATTTTATTATTAAGTAATTAATACTCCTATTCACTTGATATTGCCTTTGAGCAATGCAATTCTGACACTTGCTCCCTAGGGATGATCGAATTTCAAAGCTTAAGGGCATACTCCTCCACAAGACTGCCCTCACTTCAGACACAATCTCCAGGGCTCCAAGGTCACCAGTGCTTCTGCCCAACTGGCTACAAATTCAGGGGTTCTCATTACCTCCTCAGGTTTGATAATTTGCTAGAATGACTCATAGAACTCCAGGAAAGCTATATTTATGATTCTAGTTTTCTTATGAAACTATGATTCTAGTTTTCTTATGAAAACACAGGACCAGCCAAGTGCAGAGACACATAGGGTGAGATCGAGGAGGGTCCCAAATACAAAATTTCCATGTCCTCAGGATGCATCACCCTCCCAGCACGTTAATGTGCATGACCAAGAAGGAAGCTCAACCATGCTCAGTGTCCAGAGTTTTTTATTATGGTTTCATTATGCAGTTATTACTGATTGATTGGCCATGTGGCTGCACTCAATCCACAAACTCCCCAGAGGACAGTTGGTATAACCTGGCTCAAAGTCCCAACCCTTAAGTTGTATTGGTGGTCATTCCAGTATGGCCAGTTCCCATCCTGAAACTACCTAAGGTCCAGCATGACTGACTTTGTTGACATAAACTCAGGAAGAGCCCTCTATGAATAACAAAGACTCTTCTATCGCTTGGCAATTCCAAAGATTAAGAGATTACTCCCCAATAGCCAGGGACAAATGGCAGCCAAATTATCTACTATATCACGCTTTTAAATCAATTTCCTTTTTGCCTTAAATTAATTAGCCATAATAACAAACAACATAATGTAATCACAAGTTTAATTAGTGCTAATCAAATCTTTTCTAATACATATGAAAAGAGATGAGTGACTTAAAATTTAAAATGTTTATCTGCATATCATCCAAAATCATCTTACATTGCCACTTATTCATTTTGAATTAAGTTTATTACACTATTTCCCCCAACAAATCCATATTCTTTTACCTTATGTGTCTCAGAAGTATTCCACATGAATAGAATCATATTGTGTAAATGCCAGGAAACCATCACAAAACAATCTCTAATTTTTCAGATGGAATGTAAGCTCAGCACAAGGAAATGACTCGCCCAACTCTACACAGCTAGGACTGCATCTCAGTCTTTTGACCTCAGTGCAGGGGTCTTTTCATCACCTTCAGTCAGCAACTTCACCAGTACAGAATTGCTTAGAGGAATGAATATAAGGCAGAGGGTAAGAGAAAGCCTGACACGCTTTTTTTTTTGTACTAAATGCTGATGGTATCTTAAGGAGAGCATGTCATGGGAAGTGCTGAAAATGATCAGAGACCTGGGTTGGCCAGGTCTCTGAATCTTGTAGCAAATAAAACCAGGCTTTGTGGTCAGACTTTGTAGCAACCAACAGCTGGTTCCCTGTGTCATCCCAGCCCCGACTGCTATTTCTTTCCTAGTATTAAGTAGGCATTTTTGTGATATAGGCTCACCCCAGCCTGCAGGCTTTGGGAAACCCATCTGCTATCCTTCCTATTCATCTATTTCAACATGAGCCTTCAAAAATAATAAACACAGTGTGGGTCACTGTGAAAATGAAACTGAAGAAAAGCTGACATCAAGAACTTACATTATAAAAGTGGAATCACATTTTAGGAACTTTCTTCAAGCCCGCTGAACAACCCCACTCTGCAAAATTATGTTGATTTGCCATTTGCCTAATAATGGGAATGATAAAGTGAAGACTGAGACAGCATCTATTTGTAAAAGTCAACATTGATTTTCTCCCCTTGTACATTTGCCCAGACATAATTGTGGTGAATGGCCTTTTAAAAATTTAAAAATATATTAAATAGACTAATGAGTCTCCAATAAATGTATACATGAATAGTTCTTTCCTTGACACAGTTTTCTGCCATGGAAACTAAATGCATTCCCAGAATATGCTGCAAGTAATCTCCTGACAGCTACTATTTTGGACACTGATATTTTATACCCGCATTTAAAATGGACTCTGATATGTTTTGACTCATCTCTCATTTTTTTCTAAGTGTTTCAGTGTTCTTTTGCAAAATCTCCCATTGCCATCCTCCTTGCCTCTCCCCCAGCACCTACTCAGGCCTTCTTTACTTTGTTCTGGGATAACTGAAGCACAACCTGAGCTAGTCCATTGGAACCCAGGGTCCCCTCACTGCACATCTCTCTGCAAAGTGACACTCCTCCCCCCCACCCCCGGTCCCTGCTGTCTCTTCATCCTTTGCTTTACTAGGCAGGCAGTATAGGTAATGTTAAGACTCAGGGTCTGGAACTGATCTCAAATTCTGCCTCCCATGTTTATTAGCTCTCTAACTTTGGGCAAGCAAATTCACCTTTCTGAGCCACAGTTTGCCTATCTGCAAAAGGAGAATGAACTGCATTCCTCAAGAGTTGTTAGGAGAATTAAATGAAATAATCCATACAAAGGACTTAGCATAGTATCTGGCATATTGTAAATGTCCAATAAATGACAACTGTAAAAAGCTATGCTATGTGTGGAACCAAGTCTAGAGATCCCTAACTGTATTCCACATCCCTGCAAAAACTAGGCCATCTCCCATGCCTCTCAAGTTTTTATCATTTGTTTATTATATGTTTCTTAAACAATATAACCAATAAATGATTCAGTTCAACCCTGAAAACACTGAAGCTCTGAGCAACCTATCCCCAAGGAACTATGCTCCTGTTGACACAGCTAGGCAAGGCTCCCCCAATTCACCATTTTAATAATTTTCATTAAGCCCTAGACTGGCAAAACCTAATTACCAGAGTGAAGGAATCACCAACTCATGACCCCAGATGAAACTGCCTGTTAACCATGTTGGTAGAAATATGAGTATTATGGGTCTACCAAAGAGTGAATGAACCAAGTTCATCAAAAGTTGGGGTTTTCTTGCCCTGATTAACAGAACTAAACCTTAAACACTGCCTTGTTTTGATATATGCCGAGCCTGTCTCTCCAGCTAAACTATGCATGACTTGAGGACAGAGAGGAGCTCTCATACATCTTTTGTCATTTTGGGGGACAAAATTCACTTTCTATGCAATATAAAATAGTTCTACTCTGGTTTTTCACTTTTTGATCTGAAGTGCAAAGCTTAGTCAAAGCTATGGTAGACCAAGAGCTAGCTCCTACTGTAGGGCTCTTACTCTTTTCATCTGAAAATATAAGAGAAAGGACAAGATCGTAGGAGGAATCTTTCCATTTCAAGTAATAGAAACCCAATTCAAACTAGCTTAAGCAAACTATGTACCTGACAAAAGGCTAATCTACAAAGTATATATGGAACTCAAACAACTCAAGAACAACAACAACAACAAAAAAACCAAGTAATCTGATTTTAAAACAAGCTAGAGAGTTAAATAGACACATCTCAAAAGAAGACATGCTAATGGCCAACAGATATATGAAAAGATGTTCAACATCACTAATCATTAGAAAAATACAAGTTAAATTCACAATTAAATACCTCACACCTTTTAGAATGGCTAATATCAAAAAGACAAGAGATAAGGATATGAAGAAAAGGGAACACTTATACGTTGCTGATGGGAACGTAAGTTGGTATAGACCTTGGGTAAAACAGCATGGAGGTTCATCAAAAACCAAAAATAGAACTACCCTGTGATTCAGCAATTCCACTTCTGGGTATATAGGCCAAAGGAAATGGAATCAATATGTCAAAGAGATATCTGCACACCCATATTAATTGCAGCATTATTCGTAATAGCCAAGATACAGAAACAACCCAAATGCCCATCAACAAATGAATGAATAAAGAGAACATGGTGTATATATTTACATACAAGTGAATATTATTCAGCCTTACACAAGAAGGAAATCTTGTCATTTGTGACAACATGGATGAACCTGGAAGACATGCTAAGTGAAATAAACCAGACACAGAAGGACAAATACTGCACCATCTCAATTATATGTGGATTCTTAAATAGTTGAACTCATAGAAGCTCAGAGTAGAATGCTAGTTGTCAGGGGCTGGAGAATGAGGAAGACGGCAAGATGTTGGTCAAAGGGTATGAAGTTTCAGTTATACAAGATGAGTAAATTTTGGCGTCCTAAAGTACAGCATGGTGACTACAGTTAACAATACTATATCATACAGTTGCAACTTGCCAAGAAGATAGCGCGTAAGCTTTCTCATTATGCCAGCCCCCCAAAATGTAACTATGTGAATGTGATGAATATGTTAACTAGCATGACTGTGGTGAACATCTCACAATGTATACATGTATCAAAACATCAAACTATACACCTTAATTATATATCGTTTCTATTTGTCAATTATATCCCTGATAAAACTGAAAAGAAAGAGCTTAAGCAAAAAAGGGTGATTGATTGGTTTGTTGGCTCAATAATCAGCATTTGACAGTTATATTAAATCCAAGCTAATCTAAATCCTGGTGCTCTAACAATGTCATTGAGGACTTGTCCTTTCCCCTCCCTTGTGGCTAATGCTCTTTATGTTGGCTTCATCTCAGGCAGCTTTCCCTGCCTGGTCTCCTCACTATCTCCAGTGTTCCATTCTTACCATCCATCACCCTAACAACTAGTAGAATAAGAGCTTCTCCTTCCCAGAGCTGATGCCCACTGGTTTGATTGGCCTGGCTTAGGGCTCATGACTTCTGCAAAACTATTCATTGTATCTGAGGGAGGGTAGAATCCTTGACTGATAGTCTCCACAGGATTGGATGCAAATGAGAAAGAAAAAAAAACTAAGGCTGTTTCAGATAAAGGAGAAACTGGTACTGACTAGACAGTGATAGAAGATGTCCACTAGGGCCATCTAGGGCTCTGTAAGCCCTGATTTGAGACAGGCAGCTACCTTTGGGCCTCTGGACTAGTTGCTTAAAGAGCAGGCTGACTCCAGTAAAGAGTCCTTAGGGCACATTTCCCTCTGCAGGTTGCAGTCTGGTTTGGTTATGCATCCTTTGGGTCACACATATTTCCTGTTTGCCTTTGTAGCATTCTTGTGTGGATTCTCAGGTCTGTGAGGAACTGATCTGTTAGAGCTGGTTTTCATAGGACACTGGTTCTGATTGGCCTAAAGCCAAGTGAAAGTGGGTAATAAATACATCATTGTAATTTGAATTCTACTACAGTCAAGTAGAATATTCCCTCCCTTGACATCACATGACTCCTTCTGTTTCCTTTGCATATTTTATTCAGTCATCATTAATCAGCACTGATTAATTGCCTATATGTGCCAGGCACCAGACTAGACATAAGCACCTTTACAAAGTTTGAATTCTAAGTCCCTTTTTAGGGCAGTTTATGGTCTAGTGAGTAGATGTGATGGTGTGTAATAAGCACTGTTAGGATGAAGTTCCAAGGTATTTAAAAGTACAAGAAGAAATGAACGTAAAGGCAGCAAAGAATTCCTAAAAAGGTAAGATGTGGCATGTTGGAGAATAAGACAGAGCTTGCTGGAAGAGAGAGAGGAGTGGTATTCTAGGAGGCAGGGGTGGCAATGTGATGGCAGGGAGGTGGAAAACAGGAGGGCGTGTATGAAGATCTGCTCATAGTTACTATGGTTGGGGTTGGCAGTGGGCAAAAGAAAAGTGGTGTGAGATAAAGTCAGAGAGACAGATAAAACTATGGGCCACCTAAACTCCTCTTCAAAGAAAGTCTTGCACCCCAGTCACAGGAGGTGCAGTCAGCAGATGGCCTTCTGCTGCCAGCGTCTCAGGGTCAGCCTCAGAGGCACTTGCTTTGTCCGAGTTTTGCCCTTCCAGGATGTAAAGACCGACCACTTTGGCCTGATGGGTGACACTCTGGAGGTACTTTTCCAGAGCTCCCTCACAGATAGGTTGACAAGGCTGTGTCAGGCCTGCATCCCAACTTGACTTCTTTTGTCCAAAACTACTCTCCTTCCTTTCTACTAACACGGCTCTGTGACAAATATCTTGAGTCCGAAACTCCATCTGGCATCTGCTTCCAGAGAACCCATCCTGAAAGACCAGCATGGATCCAACCACAAAGGCTCTGTGTATGAAGCTGAGATGTGTTCCCTGAGTTCAAGCATTACAAAATGAGAACCAATTAAAGAATTATCTGTCCTCTGACAAACTCTTCAGAGTCTCTCAAAGTCTGAAATAAATGTCCCATCCTGTTACAAAGCTGAAACATCTAAACTATGGGAAGAAGATTAGAGAAAAAGAATAGAACCAACTCCATTGTATTAATTCAACAAGCATTTCCTGAATGCCTAGTCAGCATCAGACACCATCTGATCTGACAGTATCAGACCTCAAGAGTAAGACATGGTGCAGAGCCCTCTCATGGAAGGCTTCCTGAAGGAGATAGCTCCTGAGAAGAACCCGAGCTTGTTAGAAGGGACATGTGGCTAAATAAACAATGTGAAAATGAAGATCCAACACACAGAATTACAGGATGAGCTCTATATTCATTTCCTAGGGATGATATAACAAAGTACCACAAACTGGGTGGCTTTAAACAAGAGAAAGTTACTCTCTCACAATTTAGAAGTCAAAAATCAAGGTGTTGGGAGGCTCCTGCACCCTGTCAGGACTTAGGGAAGCATCTATCTTTGTCTCTTCCTAGCTTCTGGAGTTACTGGCAATCCTTGGCATTTTGGGCTTTGCCTCCATCATCGCAAGGTATTTCCCCCGTGTGTCTGTCTGTGTCTCTGTTTTGTCTTATAAGGACACCATTCATATTGGATTAGGGCCCACCCTGATGGAATACGACCTCATCTTGATTACACTTGCAAGGACCCTATT